GAATTTAAATAATAAGAAGATAATGCTTGGCTCAGAAGATTCGATCAAATAATGTGGATAATGCCAATATAAGCCCAAACAATATATTTATATTTTTTGACAGTATATTTGAGAAACTCAATTAATACTAGAATGTAACTGCTTATTACGGTCGGAGCTGGATCTTCGTTGCTTTAAATAATTCAATCTTGAATTACTAATATATCCTATATATGTACTTGCATATATACCATATTGTAGTCTTTTTCAAACTGCGCGCCGAATTGTTTTTCCGGACTAAATAAACGCAATTAAAACTACTCTAGTAATCGCGAATTAAATTGACGAGCAATTTTTAATAATTTGATGCTACCATCGAGCATCATATATTATAAAGATGTTAATCTATAAAAACTATTAATAAATTTATTGCGAAAAATATTACCTCGGCCGGGACTTGAACCCGGATCTCTTGTAAACCGTACGAGGTAGTCTAAAGGCCTCGGTAGTCTAATGGCTCAGGACGCTCGTCACTCCGTTATTGAATTGGTAATTTCACTGTGTAAAGCATATTCTTAGTTGAATTATATTCACTATTAAATTTGTTAAGTAACTTATTTACAAAAACTTACATAGCAAAAGAGTGAAAATGATGTTGTTAGTTTCGATGTTAGCCAACAAATGTGACGGTAAGACTAAGTATGCTAAATCAAGAACAAAGTCATGTTTTAAGAACTAAAATATTGATGTCGATACAATTGAAGAAACAATAATAAGTTCTTACAGAAATAAAATGTAGATTATGGAAATATAAATCTTAACCTATATAATCTTGGAAATTGTTAATAATATAAAGAAAATTTTTAATTGGTAATAATATAGAAAAACAAATTTTTCATTGAAGATAACAGAAAAGATAAGATATATAAATTATAAGTTTTTTTAAAACGACCATCTACTGTATTAAAGCTTAATTCAAATTGTGTAAATATTTAAAAGATTATAGGCATTATGAATTTTATTCTGAGTGTTAGGCCCACAAATAAATCTTAAACAAAAATTGGGATAAATTATAACATGTAATGAAGCAAAAATCTAAATCTAACAAGAAAAACCTCTACGTTATTCTAAATAAATCCACATATAGCGGGTCGAGAGATGACGTGTCATTGTATAAATTCAAATCATGTTTCTTTTTATGTGTATCGTTTCGGACATAAGTCTTTTATTAAAAATTTTCTCTTCGTCAAGTATCTTCACATTGTCCCAGTCGAAATTGTGAGAAGTCTCAATTCGATAGAATTCTAGTTCGACGATCATTGCAAGTGTTCTGGGCACGAGGTAATGTCGGCCGCGTAATATCACGCCCTTTGCAATAGTGCAGTGTTCGTGCGGTTTAGCAACTATTGTTGCTAACGGCTAATTGAGGACATGCTATCTGTCGGCAAACGATTTGGTCCTTAGTGGTAAGAAGCGATTGATTAACTATTATAATACTAATTTATTAAGATGAATACATCAAACTTTTCTACTTGCTTTCCGATATCTTACATTTTGCACGGATAATAATAATAATAATAATAACAGTAATAATAGAAAAGATACATTTCGTATGTTTAATCATTTTTACGCGTTTCAGCTTCCTCTTTTCATTGTAAGCCGTAGTAAAATCGTAACGTAATTAAATGCGCATTTATTGATTTTATCGTATCTGTCTCATCAAAATGCAGGATCCGAATGTCATCGTATTTAGCATAAGAAATACAATCAGCTATTCGCAGCTGTTCAAAGTTAAATTACAGATACAAGTGTTTTATATAAGAGGAAGGAAATTATACTATCGTCTGGTTTGATTTTTAATCTAGCCTGAGTTAATTATCGATCATGCTACCACTAATTCTTGTGGTAGTTCTTACGCAGCGTACGTAAAATTATATCGTATAATGACAAAATATTTTCTTATTTATCTCATTGTTATTTTTATTTCCAACGAACATTTTTCTTATTGGTCATTAATCATATTATAGGATAATGCGCATACTGTAAAAAACATGTTCTCATTGCAATTAAAAAATTAATAGTTAATAAAGAATGATAGGCGTCGGCGCAAATGTAATATATTATTGTTAATTATTAAACAATATATCGAGTAGTCGTAAAAAAAAAAAATAGATTAGCCATACATTTCAATTCAAATTTGAGCTATCATCAGCAGGAATTAATATTAAAAATACAGTAAACGACATGAAACCATAGCAAAAACTACCTCTATCCTTCTCATGCATAATTGAGTATTCTGTTGCGGTTTGTAAAGAAATATCGTGTTTATTATACGTATTTATCACAGAGACGTTCGCTGAAGAACCTGAAGCGATTATCGGTGGCCAGTCCGCCGCACTAGGCGAATTTCCGTACCAAGTTTCCTTGAGATTGTATGGAGATTACGTTTGCGGCGGTTCCATCATCGCCCCGACTAAAATCCTCACTGCGTGGATGGCTTGGACTTGGAGGACGTTTATCCACTTTGTAGCAACCTTAAAATTGCGATTAACATCATTTATAGCACTGATGGACAGCTTCACTTTGTAAAAAATGTTGTCGTGTATCCGGAATTCTCTGATAACGAGGAAGATGCTTGGAAAAATGACATCGCTGTAATCACGGTAAATCGGTAAGATAGAAGTTCACTATTAAGATTTTTTTCTGCACAATTCTAAGAGCTTCATTTTATAATTTCTTCCTAATTTTTTTCTAATACTTTCTTTTGGTTTCTTCACTTTGTTCCTTTATATTTAAAATTTAAACTTTAAATAATTTTATTCATTTCAGCTTGAATCGTCGATTCAATACAATCAGTTCTAAAAACCGATCTCTTTGGCTAAGTTTAAGCCTTTTCTCGGAGAAATGTATTTTATCCGGATGGGATAGGATCAATAAGGATAGGCCGCTCTCGCACATTCTTCAAAAAAAATGAACCAGGTCGCAAAGAGCGCATGTCAGGAACGTCATTATAATGTGCGTTTGACTGACAGCCATTTGTGCACACTCAATCGCTATGGAATTGGCACTTGCGCGGTTAGTAATGTTTATTGATACATATATAGGAATAATTTCTCTACTTTAATAGAAAAGACTGATTTATCAGTTATAAAGACTCGGTAATTAAATAAGAAGTTAACAAAAATAGCTGTCTCCATGTCCAGGGTGGTCCGCTTATATGCAATGGCGCACAGTATTGTTTCCTGGAGTCTTCCTTGCGCTCAAGGTGAGCCTGATGTCTATACCGATGTCTACTTCCATCTCAACTTTATCAATAATGCCTAAGAAGACGTGTAAATGCAATTCACAAGACATCTACGACGTAGATCTATTCAATGTATTGTGTCAACGCGCTGAAAGTATATGCTGTTGCGATTTCGAAACTATATGTAACGATGTGTCAACCGCTTTTCTTCAAAAGAAAAGAAATTTTTATATTTATCAATAAATAAGTGCTGTAATTAAATTGGAGTGGTTAATTTTTAATTAAACTTCTCATTTTTTAACAGATATATGCGAGTTACTATTTACTTTCAACGTTCTTTTAATATACAAAAAAATAATTAAGTTTTTTGTTTATACACTGAAAGAAGAGATTGGTTGCTGCAACAAATTAGATGGTTAAATATGACATAGCATTTTTAATTGGCTGTAGCAACCAATTTTTGGTTGCGTTAGCCAATTGAAATCCTATACTGACATTGCGGATAGGCTAACACAACCAATAATTGGCTGCAGCATCCAAAAATTGGCTGTTGCAACCAATTAAAAATGCTATGCCATATTTTGCTGCAGCAGCCAATCTTATCTTTCAGTGTATAATCAGTAATAATTATTTTATTCATTTTAAAGACAGACAATAATAAGCTGCAATGTAACGCTTTGGTAGAAATTAAGACATATCACAATGCCGAATGTTAAATAGTATAATATTTATTACCATGATAACAGATTGAGTGTACAACGACTTACTAATAATGATATAATAATTTGTATTTTGTTAACCCTGGAATTATGTACATATATCATACATACACAGCTTAATAAATTATATATCAGCAGATATTGATAATAAAAGTAGCACAGAATGTTTAATTAAGGCTTTCGTCATAATTACCTTGGATTATTACCAGCTTTTTGTGTTGTTTAATGGCTTAACACTTTTAACACGATAAATCGCAACATACTGCAGTAATATTCAAAAATTTTTTGAACGGATATAATACTGGTATTCTGTAATCATCTCGTTAGTTTAATCCAAGAAAAACTTTTTCAATTTTTTTCTGAAAATATATAGTAAATAATAAAAGAATATTACCTTTTAAAATATTCTAAAGATTCGTATGGTTTACGTTTTAAAGGGATTTGATAATGTATTAAAAATGTATTTCTTTTTTATACATAAAAGATTTCTAAAAATATAAAACTAAAAAAAGCAATATAAATTAAATCTTATCACTATATTTTCATTGTTCGATATTTTTAAAACAACTTAAGATAAATTTAATACATTAAGTTAAAAATAAACATCTTATAAATATTCCTGGATGTAGAAGTGATTTTAAAAATGAAGAATATACTATTTGGAAAGTTATGTTATTAAGGTAGTATTAGCACGACAATACTGTTCAAAAGTTTAAATCTCATCGAGATACCTCACTCCCGAAAAAACTTTCGATCATGCCTGTCCAAGGCCGCACGCACACGCGGAAAGAAAATGAATACAGAGACGCAGACTAATAGCCGCAGCACAGACTCTTGCATAACGCATAATGCATAGTGCATAAGGAAATCAACCAATCGAAATTCTTCTTTTCCATGGAATGGGAGGAAAGGAAAGCTTCTGATTAGTTGATTCGCTTATGTACTATGCGTTATGCGTTACGCAAAAGCTTGTGTCTGGGCTCTAACACCGGTGCTACAAGATGTTCGCTGGCCCGGCTGAGTCCACTCCCCATCACTTCCTTCAGTTGACACAATATGTCAAAGAAAATCGAAACATTGCGTTTTCTCGCGATTCTATTTTCTTAACTAAAGGTAAAAAATTATCATTTTTTTTTACAATATTCGTTTCATGTTCCTCGGTCGCGTGCTCGTTTTTTGTAATCCTAAGAATTTTTTGCAATCCTAAGACTGGTATAGAGACTATAGATGCTATAATTAAAAATCTGATGTTAACTTGAGTATATGCATCATATGTTAAAACCGCATATTTTAACTGCAATTATCTTAAAAATTAGACGGTCAATATGTTTCTAATTGCATACAAACTTAAAGAGCAATTTAATTTACTTGTATTTAAAATTTTAGCACATTCGTAAGAAAATCATTTCATGGTAGTACTTAATATTTTTATTTGTGATCTGCAATTATATTTTATATAAAGAATTGAAAATTATAGATATGAAAATTAAATTTATAATTTGTAGTTCTATCATAAATTATTTTTCACAAAAAATTCTAAAACAGTTAGTACGAGGAACATGCACAGTAAAAATCATATTTTTAACTCTTCGTTACATGGTAAGGTGAATTTTTAGAACGTATCCAGTAAAATAGCGGCGATTCGATGCTCATTTTTTTCTAATTAATGTATAAAATAAGTGAAAGAAATAAATAGTAACATAAAACTTTATCCTCTGTTTATAGATAAAATTTATAAATAAAAATACATAGTTTTATACGTTTTTATCTTTATAAATTTATACTTTAAATTAAACAAAAAACGCTTCGACTAGTGGGGTCATTTTTATTCAAACCTTATCAATGGAGGGTTAAAAAATAATGAGGGAAGCATGTTTAAATTAATTAATATTCTTCATAGTAAAAGTTATATCTTCTTTTTTAAGAAGCATATCCATATACTTAACCGTTCAAGCGTAAATATATTATTTGTTATCAATAATTTAGTTAATTAACTTGTATATCAGACAACGAAATTTTCTGTTTGCTTCCCGATATATTACGTTATGCTTGGATGAATGATCAGATCTACAATATAATATCTAATAGTAATGAAGAGATACGTTTCGTATGTTTAATCACTTTATTATGTTTAATTCTTTCTTATTCAACTCATACTGCGTAATTATGTTTAATATGCAATATTTAATTTCGTGTCTGCTTCATCAAAGTACAAAATGCCTCATCGTATTTATTTACCGCGACCAGCTGTTTACCAAGGTCAATTTATAGATATGAATCTGCTATAAAAAGTGGAAATTGTTGTCTTCACTTCCAGTTTTACTTTTCATCTAGCTTAAATTATCAATCATGCTACCATTTATCTTCTTGGTAATTGGCGTTCTTGCGCAGCGTAAGTAAAGACATACGTATTACGTAAATATTAAATAGTGATAAAATATTCTCTCGTTTTGCCTCCGTTGCTTATTAATTTTTAGTCATATGCATACCATCGTGTATTCTGCAAGAAATGCATATTTATTATATACCGTCAATTTATAGAGACGTTCGCTGAAGAACCCGAAGCGATCGTCGGTGGTCAGACCGCCAGACCAGGTGAATTCCCGCACCAAGTTTCCCTGAGATATAAGGGCAATCACGTTTGTGGCGGCTCCATCATCGCCTCGACTAAGATTCTGACTGCTGCACATTGCGTAACATTTACACAACCACCCTACGAAGACTTTAAAGTTGCCACTGGGTCTGTCTCAATCACTGCAGGAGAACTCCATAACGTGGAGAAAATTATCGTGCATCCGCAATACTCTGATAAATATGAAGATGCTTGGAAAAATGACATCGCTGTGATTAAGGTAAGTTGAACGCAGAATAATTTGTTACTGCGATTTGTTTCTATAATTTTGAGTGCTCCAATTTATAATTTCTTTTTTTAATTTTTTTCTAATATCTTCCTTTTATTTATTCACTTTGTTCCTATATCGTTGAAAATTTAAAATTTGAATAATTTGTTTTATTCGTTTTTCAGCTCGCATCGCCGATTCAATATAATCAATTCCAAAAACCGATCCCCCTCGTCAAGTCTGAACCTCTCCCTGGACAGATATGTTCTTTATCAGGATGGGGTAGGATACGCACGAACGGACCGCTCCCGAGCATACTTCAAAAGATGGTTCAAATTGTGGTCACACGTGACCAATGTCAGAAACAGAACCCTGATGTGCCCTTGACCGGCAGTCACTTATGCATGCTCAATCGTTCGGGAATTGGCGCTTGCCAGGTAAATAAGTAGCATTAATGGATACATAAAGATAATTTCTCTAGTTTAATAGAAATGATGGATTCACTAATTGTTGAGAAAACTCGATAATAAATAAGTTAACTAAAACGTTTGTCTGTCTTTCAGGGTGACAGTGGTGGCCCGCTCATCTGTGGCGGCGTACAGACTGGTGTTACCTCCTGGGTTGCTCCTTGCGCTAAGGGTTATCCTGATGTTTACACTGATGTCTATTATCATCACACCTTTATTAATAACGCCTAAGAAAATGCATGAAAGCAATCTATAAGACATAAACTATATAAATTTGTTTAATTTATATTACATATCAACTGGTACCAACGCGTTGAAAGAATTCATTGCTGCGATGTCGAAATTACATGGAATGCGTGGATTACGAGGGGGTAACCACTTAATGTAATCTTGGGACAGAGTCCTCGAAATCATTATATAATTCATATGAAATCTCTACGTATAATCCGATAATTACATATGCAACCACGAGAATTTATTGTATAATATTAAAATTAATTAAATAAAAAATCGTATATTTTATCGAATTACTTCACAAGTAGTGAAAAAACTTACTTGTAATCAGATGAAATCATATGAAATCATGTAATCTGCGGGACAATATTTCAGCTAGTGGTTACCCCCTCGGTGGATTATGTTTTTAAAAGACAAAAATATTTTTGTATTTTAATATTAATAAATAAAGTGTTACAATTAAACATTAAATTTGTTAGGAGTAGACATTTAATCAAAATATATGAATCTTCATACTTTTTTTAAGACAAATCTAACTGTTTGCAATTATTGTTAAGGTCTTTTTCAAATTATTATAAATTCCAAAGAAATTAGGTAAAATAGGGCGATAGGAGTCAAGCGTGGTAATTGTTGCACAAAACAAACAATGTGGATATAACACATGAATGATTATCCGTTGGAATTCATTTTTTTGATAATATCAATAACTGTTTGAAAAACATTATTAAGTTTAAAAGTAAGAAACCGGACAGCGATAACATCGAAATCGACTTTCATGATTTATTCCTTACGTCCCTACTTTTGCTTCGTATCATTGGAATCCTGTTTTCTGATTGGTTGCAGAACGTCGTACGACGCAAATCGGATTCAGTGTGAATCCAGCAATACGTTTGATATTTATCAAAAGCGAGAAAGAAAGTTGTAGAGGAGTCTAGTATAGGGTATGAATCATGAAGTTTTTTTCGTAGAATGAAAAGTGAAAAGTGAAAAATTTCTCCATTAACTTCAATGGTTAAAATTTTCATTTTTCACTTTCCATCCTAGGAATAAAGTTTCATGATTGATACCCAGGAACAGAAAACAGACTAAGAAACCGCGCAAACCGTGCCGCTTGCTTCTTTTCTCCTCTATAAAGCGGAAAGCATAACGCATAACACTAATAGCGTATTTCACTGGCAGAACCGCTGCGCACTCAGTGCACATTAAAGCTGTTGTACATTAACCTAATATGACTGTAAAAGTGAGAGATCTCAGTTAATAAAATACCCAATGTATATTTTATCAAATATCACAATAAAATATATTAAGGATTTCGTGGTTTAATTTATTTCTATATTTTTATTAAACATACATTTTTATGTCGATTTGTGTACAACAGCTTTAAAGTGCACTGAGTGCGCACCAACTCTGCCAGTGAAATACGCTATAATACATAAAATGTACCAATCAAAGTCTTTCGTTTCCTTCCTTTCCATTAAATAAAGAGCTGATTGGATGGATTTCTTATGTCTTATGTGTTATGTCTTGATTCCATGTAATGCATGTCTGGACTCTGGAAGATAACAGAACTATATCGATCAAACATCGAATCGTATGTTACAAGTTCAAGTTGTAAGTCAACTGTCGAAAAAATATAAGTATAATTTTTAATATTTCGGTGAAACACATTCTATATCATGCAACATTCCGGTAAACCAACGACTTAATTATTTTGAAAAGTCCAAATTATATTGTCATGTAAGTTATATTACTTTGTAAATAGATATTTTATTGGTATCACATTATCGTAGACATTTTCAATGGGGAAGAAGCAGAATGTGAGGTTCAAGATGCTCCTTCTGCAAATCATTTGGGGAAAGGAATTGAATTTGATTTAATTTACGGTAGAAAATTGTGTTCCCCGATACTTGGTTACAATTGTCAACTTCCTGATTTACCAACAAGTTGCATACCACCCACAACCTTAGATACATCTCTGTTGCATGTAAGATTCAACGACATACATTCATCGCAAGAATTAGATGAAATATTCTAATTTTATTCCAGTGTAGTTTTGGTAGTTTTGTTTTATATCTTACATCTTCTCTATTTGCAGATTCCCATTTATGCCCATTTAAAGATACATGATCTGAAGCCTGTACGCCTACCAGAGCCACCATCGATTTTATCATCATTGCAATTGCAATTTTCGTAAGTATTTTTCTCTGCATATCTTTCCATATTTTAATTGTTATGCTTTATTTTTAGGGAAGGTACCATACTTAGTAAATCTTCAAGAGAAATATCATTGACAGCACGATTAAGCGAGGAAGACGGTATATCCGCTTTGTGTAGCGCTCAAAACAGTACAAAAATTACAAATGCTAAACAAAGAATAGAAATGTAGGTTTAAGTATCAGTATAAGCGAAATAATATATTCCGATATAAAGAGATACACAATTTTATCTTTGATATATTTTTCTTTCGCGGATGGTGACACCCTAGCAAACGAGAATGGATTAAAATGGATTCAGATTTTCAGAAATACGCATTCACGAATGTTAAAATGAATCCTTTTCAATCCTGAATGCATCTTTATTCATTTATAGGAATTACATAAAGCAAATATCTATGCTTTTTCCATCCTAAATGCATTTTTATTCATTTATAAGAATTGCATACCTCTATGCCTTTCATTCTAAAAATAATATTAGCATTTTCTGTGCATCGTGAATACTACTCAATTCAGAATTGTGAATAGGAAGTACAGTTTTTTTAATTAAGTTAAATTCAAAAATAATATCAGCAATTTCTGTGCAACACTAATACTGCTCAATTCAATATTCTGAATATGAAATGCAGTGTTTCAATGTAATTGAATAAAAAAAGTTTTTATTTAAAAATGGATCATAAATGCTACTTAAATTATTCAAAATTATAAGTAAGAAATGTTTCGTTTTAATCCGACTAAGTTCAAAAAAGTTGTAACGTAAAAATAATTGAGCTATGTTCTTTTGTTTCTCTTTGATTAGAAGTAAAATGAATGATCGATGTGAACACTCGCAAACCAAGTTAAACACAACCCGAATATTAGGCTAATCATGACGCGCGACATTGGCCAAGCGAGATTATTATTCGACACTTACCCAATTGCTGGATTCACGCTGCATTCGATTTGCGTCGTACGACTCTCTGCAACCAATCAGAAAACAGGATTCCGATGGATTTTGCTTCGTATCATCGGAATCCTGTTTTCTGATTGGTTGCACAGCGTCATACGACGCAAATCGGATGCAGTGTGAATCCAGCATATGACTGTGAACAGTGTGAACAGTTACTACTGTTACTAGCAGCTTGACGTATTAGGTTATACTCTCGATGGAATAATCTCTTTTTTTCTTTTCTACATTAACATCGGCTCGGACGAGGCGAGCGCGCGACAGTGATTAACAATGCGACAATGAGGAGATTCAACGAGTTTCTCGCGATTTTCGTCGTGTTGCAGTGCTTTTATGGTGCATGCACCACACACTTGCTCATAAATGTCAAAAATCAGGTAGACGAATACAATTTCTTGTATATCCATTATGTATCAGCTTTGCTGTATACGTAATTTATAATCTGTAAAAGAATAAACTATTGATTATAAATATATTTCTGGAAGTTAACCTCAAACATGTTTTTTTTAAACTTGTATCGAATATTCTTTTTTTATGTCAATTAATAATTAAAACTTAAGAAATAAGTTTTCATATTAACATTACTAAAAAGAAATTTTTATTTACAGGGCGGTGATATTCTTCTAGAAACAATCTCGTCTAATGTTACAGAAGATCTGATTACTCTCGAATTCCAGCGTTCTGATGGTACACTAGTCACGCAACTTATTGATTTCAAAAATGTAATTATTTTATAAAGGAAAAATATCCATGTAAAAAGATGAATTTTTTGTAATTTATTTCAATAAACAATATTCTTGCAGGAAGTTCAAGTTATAAAAGCTTTGGTACTCGGTGAGGAGGAACGTGGACAAAATCAATATCAAGTCATGTGCTTTGTAAATCATTTTTATAAAGTAGATTTTATATCATCTGATGCAATGTCCAAACTACGTCAAAAGAATCCAGGTACCGTACGGGTAGCTGAGGAGGACAGAGGTCATGTCAATTACACAATGGACTTATTTCTGGATGTTTCTCAATCCAAGGAAATCTCAAAGCATGTTACCACACTTTGTGCAGAAGCAGCTGGATCAGCTTACACCAGGAATGATGATATAAAACAGTGGATTCAAAGACCAGGTAAATATCTGGAAAATAAGTGTGATTATGTCATGTATATTTTATATATTGTAATAATATTAATCATTTTATGCCATTGCTAGGTTCCTCGGAAGAGTTACTAATGGCAGCTGTATATAATTTCACAAATGTGCCGCAATCCGGTATGAACGATACAAGGTCATTATTGGTCTCTAAATGTGCTGACACATCAAATCTCTGGGCATCTTGTACATGTTCCCTTGAATTGTGCATCGGTTGGTATCCATGTGGTTTAAAATTTTGCAAAGGAAAGTCTGATGGCAAAAAGGTAGCAAGCACTTATCGATGTGGCATAAAAACATGTAAGAAATGTTTTATATTCTCATATTATTCTAAAATGAAACAGAACTGTCTATGGGATGAATGACATATAAGGACACTATAGATTGAAAATTTCAATTTATTATAAGCATGGCAGTGCCATAAAAAATGAAGAAAGCTAGAAACAAATTGAATATCTCAGAAAAATTTCTAATTGTTTTAGTTAAAATTTAAAACAAAATTTTTGCAAAAAAGAACAAATTAACCTTCTAATAATAAAAAAATCCAAAAAAAACGGTGAATGAGAGTCAGCGTGGTAATTAATACGCAATTTTAAATCTTCAATCCAGAAAATAGAATCTTTATTCCAAAAAACACAATAGTACGTTTCAGTTCACTTTGGAACCATCAAAATTTTTTTGGTGATATTTAGGGTTCAATAATAAAAACGCTCTATCTGTCATACCTATTATTGCCTCTTTTTTGTGAGAGTGGATGTGCCGATAAAAAATTAAGTTTTTTGATGTTAATTTGAAACTTGTTGGATAGAAATATTTATAAGATAATGTTTCAAATAGATTACAACATCAAATGTGTTAATCTGATGATGTTTTTTCTTGAACATGAAGGGATTGATATTTTGAATTTGCATTGTTGAGGATGATTCCAAAGTTAACTGAAATGTACTATTATATTTTTCGGAATAAAGATTCTATTTTCTGGATTGAAGATTTAAGATTGCGTATTAATTACCACGCTGACTCTCATTCGCCCTGTTTTTTTGGATTTTTTGTTGTTGAATTTGGAAGAGTCCGTAAGAAGATTACATTATTACTATTTTAACCTTCTAATACTTTTTTATTAACTTGATTTTAAATATATAAATAATTTATATGTTTTATTTAGTAAGTATAAACTAAAAATTTTTATTTATTAACAATTCTCTTTTATGAATGAATTTAAATATAACATTTTCTTGTTTTATATATTTTACTTTATATTATATCGTAATTAAAGCCAAAGCAAATCAAGCAAAAGTATTTATTTTTGCAAGATTGTATATTAGATTATACTGCATTTATACTGCAGATCTTTGAAGTACTTTATAACATAACAAATGGATTACGCTTTAAAAGGATTTATGTTAAGGGATTAACACAAAATTTTTATTTCCTTCTTATCTAGGTAAAACCGTTAAACAAAAAAAATTTTTATTCGTTGTTTTTTTAGAAAATCTTATCAAACACATGATTAATATACGTATTCATGTAGACTTTACTGAGTGGATATATTTGTAACATTTACAATTTTTAAATCCAATTTATATCAGAATTTTATTTCCATACATTCCAAGATTTTTGTAATAAAATATTTTGATATATTTTATTAAAAATATTGTTCTTAATTCTACTTTTGTAGAATTCGTTTTGCAACAAAAAATTTAAAAAATGCAAAACTGTTACATACAGATAAAAATACGTAGAACATTATTTCCTGTGATCAACAATTATATGTTCCAGATTATTATTCGCAGATACTTTTTCACTTCCATTGAATTTATCTAACATTCCTAATCGTTATGTTATTTACATCTAAAACAAAATCATTCCAATTATATACCCAGTAATTTTTGTATTACCTATTTATGTTATGTCTAATATTTTTCGTACTGTGAATACATGTTACAAATAATCCATTCAAAAAACACAAAAATATTCTACTTTATTTCTCGAATATTTCAGAAACGTCAAGGATAATTTGTACGTAGAAAATTTTATACGTGATTTGTAAAGCTGCCATTTATACACATTGTGTGTGTAGCGTGAGTGTGTGTGTGTGTGTGTGTGTGCGTGCGCGCGCGTGCGTGCGTGCGTGTGTACATTATGTTATAAATGTACATAATGCAGATTCATATATGCAGAGACACAAATAATAATAGACATCGATGAGTTAGATATATAAATTCGTGTTAATAGCCGAAAAGTGTACAGTTTATGTAAGATTTGCAGTACTGTGCAAGACTTTATAAGAATATTATCACAATTTATACTGATACATTAAGTATTTGCAATTTGTAATGAATGTCTTTGCACGTTTCAATGAAAGAGTATACCTAGCGGATCATTGTGAATAAGACTGCAAAATCTGTCCATTTAACGTATAATAGTTAAGTCATTGCTCTCTGAAATTCCTCACACATTATATTTACAATATAAGAGAGATTGTTCGAAGCCAGGAAATATATACGTATACTTACGCCTGTAATTCAACGTTCACGAAACATTTACAAAAAAACATCAAGCAGTATTTGGTGTCGTTTTAATTAGCAACCATTATACTGCAAATAGAAGATGTATAATGCAATATAATGGTACTGAGGAAAATGCACGATTCCCCAAATAGACCTCGCCATCTATTATCTTTCTAGAAGTTAATTGCTACAAACGCAGAAATAGTGAGATAAATTGAGGCATTCACAATATACTACGAAACAGAGCCAGGATTTAGCGCAACTGAAATTATTTTAATCATTGAATTTGCTATTGATTAAAATTTCAAGACTTTAAAAGTATCAAACACAATATGTAATTCTACGACAAGATCAACATCTCATTTGACTTATTGTCTGATTTTTCATAATACGCACAAAACGATAGAAGATTTTAAATTATTATTTGAAGTTCTAAATGTAACTTCAAATAAAAGAATTTGTATTGTTAAAAGAATCAATTTTTTACTCCTTTGTCTCATTGTCAGTAAAAATTTTGGTTCTGCTATGAATGATTTATAAATTAAGCGACGTTAGTTTTGTTTATACACATACTGTAATAGTAAAAAAAACATGTCACACTCAATTATATTTACGTGTAAATCAATGGGGATTAATACATAAAATGTGACAGAGTAAATTTGTAAATAATGCACTATTTGTGTAGAAATGTATGTATATTCAGCGGAGAGATTTGAAGAGTAATTTTGAAGTCTTATTTTGATATATCGACTTTAGTATCGACATTTTAGTTACAATAGTGGCTTTACAATGGATATTAGAAAGGGCAATATGTGCAATAACAGTTTTTAGATAACGAGAAAGGATTTATAAATATCCTATTATATAAGAGAGGATATTATAAAATATTTATAATAATTTATTTAATATTTGTTTCTTTCACTTGCCTGTTGTTTAATATATGTATAAATCTATTTATTTGGTGAAAGACTTTATACAGAGTTAGGTTTCAGACCTAACGCACTATCTGCTAATGGTAGATTTCTGAAATCATTTTGAGATGAAAATTTAATAACATAATGTCCGGGCTAAATATACTCCTACGTAATATTTATATCGATATTAATAAAAGGCAACTATTAGATTTTATTTTTAGCACTTTGTGTTATACCATACCTAAGCACGTAAATTTTGGACGTGCTAAATAACTTGCTAATTTAAATGATTATAATTTAAAAACTATTATAGCCTCGATATTTTGGTATTAGAATTTTAGTCTCAAAATAACTTCAGAAATCTGTCAGGTGATGCGTTAGGAGTGAAATCCCCTATATATAGCTATATTAGAGCTTTCTAACGTAAGAAGTGTCATAATTATACAATAGAAAATGAGAAATATTTGTCAATGTTTAATTACTGTATCAACCCCCTTTGATGTAAAATTTATGGGTATCACTACACTAAGTATAATTTCAGCTTTACACATAATGTTATATCTTATACACATATTTTTTATATATATTTAATAAAAAGAATTAATATACATACATGTGTGTTTTAATAACATCGAGCGATTAAAAGATCCTGAACAATCGTTTTTTATCGTGCGTGATTAAAATATATTTACGTGATATACTACTTCACGAAAGATATCAACGTTTTTCGAAAAAAAAAAGTTATATAATTTTGTCAAATTTCTCAATAAGAAATTTATTTTAAATAAAGGTATATGGACAGCATATATTTTACAATATAATATATATGTATGTGTGTCTCATACATATATTGTGTGTACCTATTATAGGCGTGTACGATACATACATGACAAAATAAACAATATGCACAATGTAAAACGCGTCAAAAATATGTTGTTTTTGTGGAAGAATATTCTTTGAAGAAGATATGGGAGGGGGGAGGTAAATGTTTGTTCATAATTGATTCTATTAAGTACGATACATTAATAATAATAATAATAATAATAATAATAATGTTAATTAATATAGGTAATATAATAATAGCAAAATAATAATGTAATAATAATTTAGTTTTACCCAAAATTCTTTACACATTTCTATACACATCGAAGACATTTTGCACCACTTGCATTTCTACGAAACTTGATGTGCAGTTTGCACAAATTGCTAAAAATGTCACCCTGCTGAGCAAGAAAAGAAAAATTTATGTACAACAATAAAACATATATAAAATCATTGTTTGTAACGATTAAAAATAAGCTTTTGGACGATAAAGCTCACAGTGGTGTAGCACCAAAAGTAAATGCTGCTATCTCGGAATAAATACGAGAAGATTTACTGATGCAAAATATTTCTTGACATGTGAAAGTTTTCTAATATAACAATATAATATCTCTCGCTATCGCTATTATATCTCTGCTACTGTATTATCTTTGATAATGAAACTAATGTGACAAAATAATGTGACATCTATGTGAGTATACAATTCTCTCTGTAATTTTAATGCTACACACTAGTCGTACACCATTAGTCGCCTATCTCATTACGTTTCTGAGGTCCTAAAGTGTTCATATAAGACTGTAGATAAGATATCGGAGAGATCGAGGAAATTTAATATCTTGTAAAAAATTTCAATAAAACGGTACTCATTGTAACAAAATATGATGACATTCTTGATCATATCAGGTAGTTTATCATTATTTGTATCGTATTATTATATTCGTATCATATTTTTATCGCAATTTCGCTTATTGCAATTTGTTGACAGGCGACAATTATACGCCACTGACTCGCATGAATACAATTTCAATTGTACTGAAATCCATAAGAGATCATGCTTATACACAGAGGATACTCTTAGACGGAGTTACAAAAGATAAAACTGCAACTATTATATAAAGATTTTCCGTATTGAAAATTGAATGGAATATTGCAAACAATATCTTTTGCTCGCGTGAAAACTCTGAGCTAAAATATTGTTTCCAAAATTAATGAGAAGAACGTACCTTTTATCACGAGATAAAATCTTTTGATATATTTCGGGTAGCACTAACCACGTGATGACGTAAAATGTGCGCAAAGTGTCCTGTTCTCCCTGATTGTGAGCGAAAAATGAGTCCCTGAAATTCGCACGTCAGTCCAATCCGAAACTTGTGGATCGTTTTGTGCACTAGAAGGAGAAACACTAGCTACTGTAGCAGGTCTTGCGCACGTCCGCAAGTATAACACTGAAATCATCATCGGCTTTGGGCACGTGTTCCATGCTCTGCTGCTGCTGCTGCTGTTGCTGCTGTGGTTGTGATTGCTGATGCTGTTGCGTCACTGAGTGATCCGTGTACTTGGATACCTCCAGTCCCGGATGATACTGCTCCATAGTGTGACCGATCGCGACATTAGGACAACGAGCATCCTTGTTCCCCTGCTGATCGTCGATAATGCACTGAGAATTCGGTATGTCCAATTGAGACTGCGGCGGTGCCCCGTAGTAGCGCAGATCGCTGGCGTAGTTATGGTTACTGTCTAACATATTCTGCGAGGATAGGCTCGAATGTGCTACGCTTGTCGGGTGAGAATACTTGAAATATTTTTCCAGTTGGAGCGTCTGTTGCTGATCATCCTCGGCACTCATACCAGGATCGATATGACTGCCGAGAATCGCGTGCTGTTGCTGCTGGCCGGAGGACGCGTCCGTTTGATACTCCTGATGATGCATTTGATATCGGTGCGTTACTGTGCCTATAAAAAATTAAGAGCATGAACAAGAACTTGATTAATAAAATAAATTGCATCATTATTAAGAACTCTACTATAATTCCTTTGATATTTGCTATGAATAGACATTCGGAAATATTTCCCAGTATTTCTTTTCCATTTCTCGAGAAAATGGTTTTCTTTAAAAAATATAAAAGCAATTAATTCCAAATTATTTCTGTTGCTTATATCTTTTTTATAAAGAATAATATCGCGTTTCTCGACTATGTTATATGCTAAAAAAGCCTTTTATTTTTAATCTTCTTATCTACGAGCCTTTGAATTTAACTCTCAACTACATGTTTTGACTGGCGTTTTTGACTGGCTCCGTAATTATCACAAATCTCAATGGAAAATATATTTTTTTAAATAAAATGCCAGAATGTATAGAATCAAAATATTAAAACATAAAAAAGTTTTGATAATAATTAAAAAAATTATGCCAAAAAATATTAAAGAACAATTTATGAAAAAAGTGCAATGATTAATTATTAAAAAAAAAATCTGCGATGAAAAAAGATACAAATAAAAATAAGTAGTGTTTTGAAAAGATGAAAACGTGAACTTTAAAAAAAAAATACGTTATATTGATTTATTCCAAAAAGTGTAATTATTTGCACGATTGAAATGGGGGCATTGTTATACATACTCGGAAAAATGATATCGGAGATATGTCGAGTATTTTCCTCTTTAAAAAAAATGTAATAAAAATATTTTATATTAATTATATAATGATTTTGACATTATTTACTCACAATTTTATAACTCCGAGAAAATAGAGCGATTGTAATTCACCGTAAGACGCCTCTCTCACAAAAATACTTTTCTTTTGATAATGAATATATGTTTTAATTATAAGAAGACAACATATACACTTGAATACAGCACTAATAAACAGGCATTTACTAAATTTTCACTTTCGGCAAAAATCTGTCAAATTTACGTTTGACGGGTCCAAGTCACCCAAGCCAAACTTTTACATCACAATTAGCGTCAAGACGATGACGAAACAATTGCATCATGGCGATCTATAGAGAAAGGTTCCAAGTTTTTTACCCCCTCACTTCAACTTTGCAATATTAACCGTACAAAAATAGTGGCAGACTAAAACTTTCACCGGGCCCAAATGTTCACTCATGTAGTTGAGGGTTAATATGCGTAAGTGAGAACGGAAATATTACCGGGACAACTTTCAGCGGCTCCGCGGATCCCTATGGGCTGCTGTCGACTGTTGGCGCATTGGACCGGATTGTAATTACTCTCGACGGTAGGTTGCATCGAATAGTTCGTCGTGCTCTTAGGCGTCTGCGTGCCGCTGTAATGCTGCAGCGATTGATCGTGTGGCGAGGCAACTGGTGGATAAAACGTGCCCGTGACAGAGCCGACGTTGTCGAAACCGGAGCGGAGCTTATTGCACGACACCATCATACCGTTCGCTATGCCCACTGCGGCTATACTCGTGGACTGTCTCTCAAAATTCAAATAGCCCACCTGATGAAAAATATAATTGCTTGTGTCGTTCGATCTGATCTGACGCGGATTAATTTAGCATGACGTAAAGAGATTACGAACGAGGTTTTAATTTATTAAATGTAAAAAGAAATTTAATTTCATTAAATTGAAGCACAGATCAAGTAATTAAATATAAATTTTTATTCGTAGTTTAATAAACGATAATTTGTAGAAGATTATAGTCGTAACGTAATATAGAAATCTCAAAAGTGCGGAATACGTACGGATTTTTTATACGTTAAGGTATCCGTATAACTGCCGGAATTTTGACACGATGATATGCTAGTGTTACTAGCGTGACCCGCGTGCAGTTGATTGTCACTACTCATAAAGGTATATCGTTTTGTCTGATCGGACATGTCTCCATGTTGTTTTGAAGTACCTTCCATCAGATCTCGTTCTGGATCCGGATTTTGAGCGGACGATAGATGACCACCATCACCTGGTAGATTAAATTATCTCAATCATTTTGTACTCACATGTATAATTATTTCATAATTATTTTAATCGCGTCGTATTGTTTTTTGTATTATTCCCTTTTCAATTTATTTTTTCACAAAGAGTCATCCAACTTGTACTATTAATTAAAAAAAAAAACGTTGTATTTTAGCGTTTACGTAAAACAAGAATTTTAAAGAAATTTATTCAATTATCCGGTCGATTTTTTATTTAAAAAATTTACCATCGGGCTCGGGACTGGCCACCGGAGATATGTCCGGGGTGTGGATGATGGGCGTATAAGGACTGCCATAGAGCGAATTATTTTCAGATTTGTACTCCTGGATACTCTGCTGTTGCTGTTGATGATACAGGGATGAGATCGGGGAATGGCCACCCCACGGGATTTGAGACATGCCCTGGTAACTGTCCATCTTGGACCTTAAATGTATTTCGATTACGGTACATAAATAATGCATTGTCGCTTTATAATTGTACACAAGTATGTGATATATTTACATTCCTTATTAAGACGAATACTCAACACGTCTAAACATTGTTAAATCTCGAACAATGTTAATCGTCGAAATCATAATGCCGTCGTCGGCGCTTCATCGTCTAAATCTCGCCGGAATCTCTCAATTAACCGCGGCGGTTAGCTCGCACGTACCTTCATTAGCAGAAAGTACGGGTCAGAGTATCGACTTACATGGAATGATGAATCGCCGAGCCGGCAGGATTGGACCTGTTGCCCGCGGTGTTGGTCGCCGAGGGAGGCGAGGACGGTGCACCGGGTGTCCGTTTCGCGTGCTTCCTACGTCGCGGCCTGTACTTGTAATTCGGATGTTCTTGCATGTGTATGACTCGGAGCCTCTCAGCCTCCTCGACGTAAGGCCTCCTGTCTTGCGGCGTCAGTCCTCGCCATTTCTTTCCTGTGAGAAACCCGAACAAAGCCTCGTCAAGTAAAAGACGTGAGACAGAGAGAAAGAGAGGGAAACCGTATGTAAAATGATTAAGCGACACACAGTATGTACAGAATTATCCTTACCAGCGTTCCGGTACTCCTTGTGCCGCATAAACAGTCAAAATATAAATAATGTAATATAATAAAATGCCGAATATACCTATGTATATAATGTGGATATATGTCCCTACAATTCTTAGATGGAGAATATTTTTACAAAAAAGAACTTTTAGAGAGATACCTATACTCCGTTCAACGAGAGAATGATCTCGGACGAAAACTTGTTCGTTTTGCGCAGATCTTCATAGCGTTGTAAAGCGTTACATTGCCTGTTATGCGCAAACCGAGGTCATTCTGTCTTCATTGAACAGAATATATTTTGATACTTTTTACAAATTGACAAGGCTAAAACTTGCAAATATGTTAACGTTAAATAAAAATAAATGATAAATAACTTAATTAAAAGATAATTGTAAAATTATCTTTTTAATTGAAAATGTTAAAGCTTAAGCTTGTAATATTTCTAAATCTTGCTATTCACAAATATAAAATTAAAGCTGATAGTAATGTGTCGCACTGAATATTAAAAAAAATTGTTCAGTCAGAAAAAACATCTCAAATGGAATCTTTGATGAATCGAAATACACTCGAGAAACAAATAGAAATATGAAGTTTCATTATTCATCGTTCTTTAAAAGATGAATTCAGATTGGACGACCTTTTAGATCGTAGACGTCATCACTGCATGCGTTTTAATATAACAATTATACATGCGAAATCTCGCATGTTCGTATAAATATTCTCGATAAATTACGCTCTTCGACAATAATGGAGCGAGGCCACAATGTATACATCTCGATATCCCGAATCTTGATAAAATCATCGGTCGATTCCTTTGGCTAACGACGCGCTTAATTCGACTCGCGAGAGAGAGAGAGAGAGAGAGAGAGAGAGAGAGAGAGAGAGATTTTATATCTTTCTCTTCTCCATAGCCCCGATATACGTAGTGCAAAACGAGCACAGAAATGATCTCTCCTCCCGTCGCATATACACGGAGTATATATACGTACGGATATACGTATTTACAGGTGGGCTTGGTCGGCGGCGGCGGCGGCGGCGGCGGGTCTTGGTCCGACGACCAAGCCTGGAATCTGCCTTAGTTGCGTTCAATATGCCAACATGGTAGGCCGGAATATCATTAAGCGAGATATAAGGGTTAATACGAACGTAAGATGTTCGCAATAAGAACGAAAAAGTTGAGCGCGAGGTAGATATCGCGGATATCGGCGTGTGTACGCATGTGTACGTACTCTCTAAATATTCTTCGGAGTGGAATCTCACTCTAAAGAGACAATTGAGCCAATCTTGAAAAAGAGTGGCTCAATTTTCAATCTTTAAGAGTGAAATTTCACTCTTCGGAATGACATTTATTCTAAACATTTTAGAGAGTGACACGTGGAGCCACGCACCAAATTTCATGTATAAACACATAGAAGTATATAAATATAAATATATAAATATATACATTAAGAAAAAATACTAAATTTCAATAAATATTTATCAGAATAGTGCCAACTAAATATTTACTTACAGTAAGTAAATATTTATTAATTTACTAAAAAATGATTGTTAAATTAAATTAATGGTTTTGCACCAAATAAATATATTACATTACATTTAATAAATATTTGATACTATTTAAACAAATGACTTATTAAAATTTAGTATATTTTTTATTGTACAAATATATAAATGTATAATGTAAGTATGTATATGTACTCATATACGTATATATATATAATATATATATATATATATATATAGTTATGCGTACAATCTTGTAAAGGTACATAGGTGCATGGGGGCGTAGATATGGGTGCGCCCGTGCCTTCAGCCAGCCACAAGGCACGAACCATTATTTCATATTTCATTTTGTATATTTCAACTCTCCGTAAGAAAGACAGAGAAAGAGAGAAACGTTGACCCAGGGGACTCCGCACAAGAGGGAGGGGCAGAGAATAAGAGAGAGAAAAAAAGAGTGCAAATCGATCGTTGTCGAAATCGCACTTTGTCGTGCCGAATCTTTCCGCCTTATTCACTGATAATAAACAGTCGCGACGGTGCTTTCAGTTTTCTCGAGAACACTTTTGCGGTGAAGGAAAGCGAAGAGAGAGAAAAGGAAAGAGGAAAGAAAGAACTCTCGCGAAAAAGAGGAGAACGCTTTTGTCGCTCAACAATGTTCTCCCGTCTAGCGACTTCTCGTTTCTCTTGGGTTCCGGCTAGTCGACTCTTCAAGCTTCTCGTATGAAAAAAAAAAAAGGGAGAAAGAGGGACTCGGAGAAGACTATCCGGCAAAGGGGACACGAATGAGGTTTTCGGCTAACAATAAGTACACTTAATTTAATATTCTTGGGCGCGCGCGAGCGGCGAGTTATCCCTGGCGGTGATTCATCATCACACCCGCGCACGCTGCGTCCCACCGTGATGTCCTCGTTAAGTATTCTAATGGTTGGCGTGTACCTCTAATTTACTGCGTTTAGGCCGCGGCCCGGTCGGACGACTTCATTAATTTCGATGTTTCGAGCAAAAGCGGGCTACGCGTCGTCGAATTAGGTGCGTCGCCGGGGAAGACGTCTGGGTCGAATTGTCGAGTTAGTTTGCTCACTGTGATCCTCGTGTGTTGAATCGAGCAATGAATGGAGAACGCGCGTCTCTCTTAAATAGGCAAGACTGGTATCGCCGAAAAATTATATTGTTATGTTATTACGAAAAGAGAGTGTTAAAAAGGGACTAATTTATATTTTTTAAAAAGTGTATATAAGTAGAAGGAAGTGTTTTTTGTAAATTTTGACCTCCCGGATACGATAAAATTATTAAAAAGTTCGTAGTGTTGAAAAATACTTCGAAAATTAAGCATGAGTGAGGCATATTTAAATTTCAATATTCTTACTTAATTCTCAAGGTGTTCCTCAAAACGTTACAAACTTTTTAACAATTTTATTATATCCAGTAGCAGATCAAAATCTACAAAAAACACTATTCCTTTTACTTACACCTTTGAGCAAAAATCGGCCCCTCTCTTTCTGTTACACGTCGGCATTGTTAACAATTTTTAGCGTCGCGCGAGTTTATAAAAATAAAGGTGTACATGATAACTGGTATACAATTGCTGACGAAATCATCTCGGTATTTAATCTCTACACTAAACTCTACGCTTCGTCGCATATACATAGCGAACATGGATATTTTGTAAGAATGTTCGATGCTAATAGGCTTTCCATTTCGCGATTTCTATCGACTCACGCAGAGTCCTTCCATCTTAGCGAAGAGATTATAAATTAGCTAGTCGGGCATCGCGACAAATTGCGAGACTGCCAGCGAGCGAAATCGCGCGTGTCGAAAGGTCCCAATCGAGAGTCTCCGAGTCGGCAAGAAGTAAGAACCGCGCGTCCCGTTTCACCGTGCGATGTCCTAGCCGCGCGTTGACATTTTCCAGAAAGCTCGTTCGTTCTACCACCTAATTAACGATTCCGCGGTGATTTACGTACGCGCCCGTCGGTAATTCACCCGGCCAACGATCGATGATTAACTTCGGTATTCGTCTCTTTCTCTCTCATTCCCAACTGGCTGCCCAGCAGGCACTTTAGGAATTTCGTTATGATCGCGGACGGTACACTCGCGCGCGGATTGGCACGTGACATTTTCAGAATCGAGCGAGAAACTTCTCGCACGCGACATTTAGAATATAACCCCGACACCGACCGATTGATCCTCGCCGCGGAGTTAGTTAGCGCCCGCTTAATGCTTCAACCTGTTTGTCGACTTTAATCACGCACGAATTACCAATAAATCCTCAATATTGGATCAACATGGGGTCTGTTCTTAGTTGATTTTCTTGTATAGTTTCACGATGTAAGAAGACCAAGTGAATCAATTTCAGCGATGCGCAGTAATTCAAAGTAACGACGATATTCGTGACTAATAAGAAATTGGTCAGAAATGTTATAAAGCCGTTATTAGAAATTTACCACTAGTTAGAAATTTGTCTCAAATTATATTCAACTCTCATTATGCACAATGTTACCTGTCTTTTTACTATGGTTCATACACGGTTCACCTTTTTCCTTCTTGTCTGTTCACATTATAGGAAAAAAGAAAAGATGAACCGTGTACTTCACACACAAAAAATCCAGCTAAAAAAAAACAGGCTATAATATTTCTTATAGCGCGGGTTTTTCTTGTACAGCATCAAGCTCGCATTTGAATGACGACCAACACCTTCCCTCGGCTCCAGAAAAGCGCGACTGACTGTTCTTCAAATTCAAAATTTACGAAACGCGATATAAAATGTGTAGAAAATCACGATGCATCGTACAGATGATGCGTGTGCAACGATGCGACGCAGAAAAGACAAGGAGAGTCGAAGCGAGGAGAGGAAGAGGAGGAAGAGGGGCCGGAGCGAGGCCCACATCTCGGTGGGACCGCGCATCGCGCGGGTACCCCGCCCAACCTGGGTCGCCCACTGTCACCATTAATAATACGTCTCCCGTCCCGTGATGTATCTCATCTCCCTCGGCGCTGGTGTGTGCTCGCCCACCGATGCGCGCACACCGACGCGTGCTCACCTGTACAGATGCAGGAGGCGTCGATGCGGTACTCCGTTGCGATCTGGGAGGGGTCCGTTATGATCGAAACGTTTTTCCGAATTCGACAAAGTTCAGAGAGTCATCAATTGGTTAAAACAGGCGACATCATCGACCGTATCGTAAAATCAATTGTTTAATCGAATTTTTACTAATCCACGCTGAACCATGATGGAACAAACCCAGCTGGTGTATGCTCGTTCTCGAGACGAATTTCGTACAATTCTGCGTAAATGCCAGATGCGACCAAATAGACATATTTAGACTACACACTGTCAACAAAAGTATTAAAACTTGATGTAGTTCTCACGCAAAATTTAAGCTC